TTCAGCTTCTTCTTTTGCATTTCGATGGTGACGCTTTACAATTAGTTAAACATTATCGTGGTCGTAATGACGATACCGCCTATCTTGAGGCGCTTCGTACCTTATTTGATACTTATGGTAATGTCACTGAGCAAAAGCGTGCGATTTTACAGGATATTGAAAACTTACCTTATCCAGATGAGAGTTTCGAACAATGCGCTGCCTACTTAAATGAGGTTAAACGTCACATGGGTTTACTTAAGAATCTTCATGTTGATCTCCGAAAAATTCATACTAAGGTCTGGCCCTCTGTAATTGATCATCTTAATCAAGGGGCAGTTTTAGCATCATTAGAAAGTTATGTTTCCGGCCGTATTTTAACTGGGGAGCTCAATCATTCTATTCGTGACATCTGGCAAAATGATCCTGAGACGCAATATGGTTGGTATGCTAGTTGGTTTAGTGATCGTACTAAAAAATCTAATCACTCTTACACGGAGAAACTTTCCACCTTTCGTGCTTCTGCTAAGGTTCTTTCTTCCGACTTGCCTTGCTCTTCTTCCTCTGAGCCTCCAACCCTTGTTAATGTCGTCCAAACTGACGCTGTTAGCATTCCGCTTACTCCTGTTCCATCTCCTTTATCTGATAACTCTTCTGAAACTCGTTCCGCACCTCCCAAAGTTGTCTCCACTTCGTCCTCTTCTCGATCTTGCATCTAGCAATTCTTCCTCTTCTACATCTACTTCGGATTCTCCCGATACTGTTGAGTCCCTCAAGCAACAATTAGCGGCCTTACAGCGTCAATGTACGCAATCGCCTGCCTACGTACATTTTTTACAGGCTCCGGTTGCTCCACTTGCCATTGCTCCTCCTCCTCCTGTCGTTCCTAAAGATGAACCTGACCCAGTTGTTTCTGTTCAATTTAATTCTGTTGCGTTTAATGCTTCTCCGTTTATTGGTCCATCTTCTACGTCCTCTGTCAAATATCCTAAATGTTCTTTTTTAGAAACTATTAAGGTTAATCATTCTCCGTCTCGCCAATCTTTTTATGCTCTTTTAGATTCTGGGGCTCAAATTAATCTTATTACTAAATCGCTTGCGCAAAGATTAAATTTGCCTATTCTTAACGCACCCAAGCAGTATCATGTTGCTGGTGTTGGTCAAAGTTCTATTCCTTTAATTTCTCATTCTATTGCTTCTCTTTCTTTCACGTCTATCGTTAATCCGGCATACACCCTTACTACAGAGGCGGTTGTTGTACCCCTCTTGCATAGTTGGTCTGGTGGTAATCCTAGTATTGCCACCTGGCTTTATGAGTTTCATTCATTATTTGCAGATCCTCGCATTCTCTATAAATGTTGCCAGGAAAACACTCATCTATTTACCTGTTCCGCGAAAGAGTGACTCATGTCCATTGTTAAAGGCCCTATTTAAATATTATCATGTTAAGTATGGCCATGCTTCTCCTAATCAATTGTTAGCTCATCTTTCTTTTGACTTTTGGATTCCTGGTAGTCTTCCTTTAGCCACTGAGGTTCGTCGGGAATGTCTTGTCTGTCGCCGATTTGATTCCAAACCTTTTGCAGTTAAGCAAGCCCCCCTACCGGATTATCGTTATAAGGCTGTCATTCCTTTTCATCACATTGGTGTTGATTTTGTTGGTCCTTTTAAGACTTTACACTTCGATAAGACCAATCGTAACTTACATAATGCCAAACAGCATAAGGTCCGTGTTAAGGCGTCTAAAGTTATTTGCATCATACCATCTCAAACAGTATCCATATATGTTTTTACGTGTATGGTTACACGCGCTATTCATCTTGAACCGGTTAAACGGGTAGATGTTGAACACTTCATTGGTGCTTTCGAAAGTTTTTGTTTTAGTCGTGATACGTGTCCCCTTACTGTGATTTCTGATAATGCTAAGACTTTTCAGGCTACTTGGAGAAAGTTTTTTGCTACACATCTAAATCAAAAACGTATCAAGCGCCATTTCCCAAAGACTTGGTGGCATTTTAATGCTTCCCGGGCACCTTGGTGGGGTGGTATTTTTGAACGATTAATGCGCATGATTAAGGATAAATATGCTCGTACTTTTCAGGGTATTCCTTACAGTAATGACAATACTCTTTATGCGTCTGTTAAATATGTTGAGGCATTGATTAATTCTCGTCCCTTAACATATCAATCTGCTGATCGTAATTCTCCTATGGTAATTTCTCCTTCCATGTTTCTTCATATTCATAAAGCTGATTGGCGATTAAGCCCGTTTTCTTATGGTCCTCAGCCTTTAAAGTTTCTTGAAATAGATAATACTGGCGAATTTACTAGGGCAGCTTTATTTCGTTTAAAGATTTTTACTAAATTATGGCTCACTTTTGAGGATGGTTACATCAAAAATTTACGAAAGTTTACTATGACCCTTGGTAAGCATTCTGCTCTTGAACCAAAAGAGGGTCAAGTTGCTCTCTTTAATTGCCCTAGTTTTAAAAAGGATTCCCCTTTTGAACGTCTTAAATGGAAGTTATGTCGCATTTTAAATATTTACCGCAGTCCCCGTGATGGTTTAATTAGGTCAGTGGATATTGTTACAGCGTCTCCTACACATAACAATTCTGCGCCATCTGAACCTCTTGTTTTAAAAAATCAATCAATTAAAAATCTTATTCCCCTAGAAATGGATGTTCCTCAACAGGATGGTCTTCTTGACCGTCGTGTCCAGCATTTATCTGCTCTTGTTGAGTACTGTACTGTCAATCAAATTAGCACGCGCTTTGAGTAGCTTTACATCACTTTATTTCGGTCGTAACAAAATTGGTAGCGGATTCAACTCATTTCTTCACGAACACACAATTTGG